AAACGCATCACCTCCTGCCTGGCGATCGACGATGTCCTTGGGGAGGTCGAACTCGTCAATCATGCACAAAGGAATGGCGCCGCCGCAGGGCTTGCAGTTATCAAGCTTGCGCTCGATGAGGTACGTCTCGACACCCGCCTCCCAAAAAAACTGAAAGGACCTCCAACCTTGCAAGCTCATGCAAAATTCCTCAGGACCCTGGACTTGGCTGAAAGCTTTCCCTACCTGAGGTGTCAGCTCAACCCCCACGCCTGGGCGAGGGCGTCGGCGGTGGATGCTCCTGCGCTCAGAGGAGCTAAGCCGAGAGCGCGCTGGACATGTGCTCCGACAGGACTTGAGTGTCTGAGCACCTTACCTTTTTCACGACTCTTTCAGGTCATCTCATTCAAAGGCTGTGCTGTCCTGCAGGGCCACCGCCCACCACCGCCACACGCAGCTTGCGGCCCTCCAGGGGCGCTCCGGCGCAGACCACCACCCGTGCCGAGGCCAAGGTTCGGGGCGTGGTGTGGGGCCTGGGAAGCAAGCAGCTGGCAACACGTTCCTGGTCGGTCCCAGCCCTCCGCTTTTCTCGAAGCTGAACCCTCCCCGAGCCTGGCAGTGACGCCCTGCCCCTTGGCCAGCGCAGAGCGCCCGGAGCGCCGCGACGCCGCCGCACCCACGAGACCCGCGGCCACGCCCACAGCCAGCGGCGCGGTGCAAGAGGCACCGCGCTCCACGTGCTGAGCTCGCTCCGCAGGCGCAGCCGCACCCACCTGTCGCGCGCATCCAAATGCACTCAAGTGGTTGGATGGGATCCTTGCACCTGAGCGAATTCCGATCAATCAATCATTCCGGTCGCCTGTGCCCGGCGCAGCGCAGGTGAAGGCTCCGTAGGGGCCACAAAAGCCGTGGCTGGAGACAGAGCCTCAAATGGAGAAGCAGCCCATGGAAACGAGCAGCCAAAAGGAAACCCCCGCCGATACAGGAATCAAACGTGTCCTGCCCGGAAGAAATGGATACATTGAGAAACAGTATATGAACTAGTGCCAAGCAAGCAGCATCGACCCCAAACATGTATCAAATGGTTACATACATATCCGTACACAGAGGTCTTTTAGTTTAAGTCAAACACAGTTCTAGGAACTAATTTTCCTGGGCACAACGACTCTCTCCAGGGTCCCCTGCGGAGGCAGACACGGTAAGTCCCATTGCTGGACAAAGGCTGACTTGTTTGGGCCCAACACAAAATTTTGATCAACGATCTTGAGCCCAAATGCAGGCACAACCGCCACATCATTCGCGCAGTAGCCGCATGATGCCGACATACCCGCTGCGCTTTGACTTGCCTGCTCCAATCAAGGTCTTTTTGCGAACAAAAATCGAACGGGTTGGCGTCCTTCTCACGGAAAAGGCGCAGGTGGGTGGACATGTGGTCTCACTGGCCGGCCAGGGCGATCCACGCCCTCGAGGGAGCAAATGGCCTGTGATGTTGCTTGTGTGATTGTGGTTTTTGTCTGGCAGTGCGAGGTAAGAGCAGGGCAGTGTGTTGGTTGACCATCTTGTTGATGGATGTTTGCAGGCAAGTGTGCAGCTCTTCGATGCTGGTCAAAGGGACTCAAAAGCAAAAACTCTGCAGCCAGTATAGCATTGCTGGCTATGTCGTTCCCTCAGGCCAAGTTTCAAGGTGGTTGTCCTCATCTCTGCAAGTAACCCCGAAATGCCCCCTGACAACTCGCCTCAGCCGGCCGGCCAACTCCATGTCATGTGCTGGCTTCACAGCCGAAACGGGTGAAATTATAAAAGCGCTGGGGAACCCACGTGGCGCAGGGCAGGTTACAGCTTGCATGGCATTGCAAGGCCCGACTTCGCAACAAACAGACTCCATGGGGGCAAGGATAACTTGAGAAGCACTATGGATGCCGAAGCGTGCCATACCTCAGTGCCACGTAGTTTCAAACCAGTCTTGGTACATTTTCAGGCGGCAGCCACAAGGCCGCAGCATGCCCTACGGAGAAAGGCGGGCTGCAGGCGACGCACTTTGGCAAGCCTCATGCCAGGGTTCGCATGGGATCCGGGGTCTTCTGGTTGTTGAACTTGTACAGAGAGCTCAAGGTCTTCCATCCCAGCTTCATATCACCCATGGGGTCGTTGCCCTGCACGGTCTTGTAAAGGTACGAGTCGAAGGTCACCTGAGCACGACAGACTCAAAGAGTTAAGACTGTGCTTTATAGCCCAACCACACGCCTATGCCCGTGCTGCCCCACACAGATACCTCCCTCACCGGTCACCCGACGGCCTTCTGCACGTACTCCTCCTCGCAGAGCTCAACGAAACTCTCACGGGCGGCATCGCTGGTGTAGAAGACCTTCTGCAGCAGATCCAGCACCAAGTACCTCGGCATCGAATACGCTTCTTGTCTCACAGTCAAAACGGCTCAACGGCTCATCGCTGCCTGAAATTCGCTCAGTTGCGTCGGGCCGTACTTGGCATCCCACTCGCGGATGTGTTCCATGAGGTCTGCCTGGCGGAAGGCGGAAAAAGAAACGGTGCAGAAGATGGCAAGACCGATAGCTACCAAGCCTCGTCGATCAAGCGAGCACCGCTCTCAGAGTTTTTCACAATGGTCTCCGCGCACCTGCCAAAACAAAGAAAACGTCTCGAGCATCGCGGGCATACAAACAGCGCCCAAGGCCCAAGTGCCGCCATGCCACATGCGGCCGCTCTTGGCTGCAAAGTAGATGCCCTCGCCAGAGCACTTGGTGACGTAACCGGCCGCATCGCCCACGAGGATGGCGCGGTCCTGGCGAGCCAGGCACGAAAGCCTGCTTGGATAGATTTGGGATAGGGAGTGGGAGCCCACATGGCGCACACACACACACACACACACACACACACACACACACACACACACACACACACACACACGCCCGGCACACGACGAGCGCGGAGGTCCTTGACACGCCAAGGCCTGGGGTGCTCCGGGATGGGGTGGGCCTCCACGCGGATAATTTCACCGCCCTCGATGCGCACGGCCGCCCGGTCACGGATTCCCTGCTGATATCTCTGGATGCCCTTCTTGTCGATGACCGTGCCGGTGCCCACCGCCACGTGGTCGCACTTCGGGAAGACCCACGCGTAAAAGTCAGGGGACACGTCCTCGCCCACGTACATCTCGGCCCTGTCCTTGTAGTAGTCCATCTTGTTCTCTGGGATCTTCATGCGCTCCTGGAAGGCAATGGCATACTCGTAGTCGCCCGCTCCGATCTCCTTGGCCACACGGCTGTTGGCACCGTCAGCGCCAACCACAACATCCACCTCCAGCGTCTTCTTCTCGCCCTTGCGCGCATTGCCGTCCTCGCCCTCGTAGTCGTTGTAGGTCAGCACGTACGATTCGCCCTTCTGCTGCGGCATGGTCATGCCCATGAACAGCCCGTTGATCAGTGTGGCACCGTTCTTCTTGGCACGCTGTCGCATATAGTCATCCAGGACCTCACGGCGAACCATCCCGATGAACTCGTCGTCCTTCAGCGTCTGACCAATCTGCACCTCCTTGTTGGTAGGCGAGATCATGGTCATCTTCCTCACCTTCCAATGCTCAGACCATGAGCCAAGTAGTCTTCAAGAATCGCAAAAATATGGCCTATGTGCTCATCTTCACAGCCTGTTGAAACGGCTTGCTGCAGGGCTTGCGAACGAATGCCAAAAGCACGGCACTGCCCCGTTCGACTGCCCAGGCTGTCCCAAAAACGCATCACCTCCTGCCTGGCGATCGACGATGTCCTTGGGGAGGTCGAACTCGTCAATCATGCACAAAGGAATGGCGCCGCCGCAGGGCTTGCAGTTATCAAGCTTGCGCTCAATGAGGTACGTCTCGACACCCGCCTCCCAAAAAGAACTGAAAGGACCTCCAACCTTGCAAGCTCATGCAAAATTCCTCAGGACCCTGGACTTGGCTGAAAGCTTTCCCCACCTAAGGTGTCAGCTCAACCCCCACGCCTGGGCGAGGGCGTCGGCGGTGGATGCTCCTGCGCTCAGAGGAGCTAAGCCGAGAGCGCGCTGGACATGTGCTCCGACAGGACTTGAGTGTCTGAGCACCTTACCTTTTTCACGACTCTTTCAGGTCATCTCATTCAAAGGCTGTGCTGTCCTGCAGGGCCACCGCCCACCACCGCCACACGCAGCTTGCGGCCCTCCAGGGGCGCTCCGGCGCAGACCACCACCCGTGCCGAGGCCAAAGTCCGGGGCGTGGTGTGGGGCCTGGGAAGCAAGCAGCCGGCAACACGCTCCTGGTCGGTCCCAGCCCTCCGCTTTTCTCGAAGCTGAACCCTCCCCGAGCCTGACAGTGACGCCCTGCCCCTTGGCCAGCGCAGAGCGCCCGGAGCGCCGCGACGCCGCCGCACCCACGAGACCCGCGGCCACGCCCACAGCCAGCGGCGCGGTGCAAGAGGCACCGCGCTCCACGTGCTGAGCTCGCTCCGCAGGCGCAGCCGCACCCACCTGTCGCGCGCATCCAAATGCACTCAAGTGGTTGGATGGGATCCTTGCACCTGAGCGAATTCCGATCAATCAATCATTCCGGTCGCCTGTGCCCGGCGCAGCGCAGGTGAAGGCTCCGCAGGGGCCACAAAAGCCGTGGCTGGAGACAGAGCCTCACAACATTTGCCGTGTCTCAGCATGTCAACTTGGCCTACACATCTTGCTTACGCCATGCCAAACCCAGTCATTCTCCAGCAATGCTCCAGGGCTCCGCACGGCAGCAGACACGGCCAGGCCCATGTTGGAGAGGCTTGGCATTGCGTCGCAGAGTCACTTAGTCAGTTAGCTGAACCGCCACAAAATTGCGATCAATGCCGCAGGTCTTGAGCAATGCCGCAGGTCGAAGTCACAACAAGTAGCAGGCTGTAGCTGTTGCAGAACATATTTACCACTGCGAGCCTGGACCCGAGACGTTTTTCCTCGATCAAAAATCAAACGGGTCGGCATCCTCCAACAGGGCGCAGGTGATTCGATTTGGTGTACCGGCTGGCCAGCAAGGCAAAGTGGGGGCGGCATGGTGGGATGCACAAGGCATGATGCAAATCAACGAGCCCACCTGGCAAACTGAACAAGATCAGCATCTGTGGTCGGCTCTGTCACTTTGACATGTTCATGTTTGCTGCTCCTACCAAAACAAAAATCGGCAAAACTTGCCCCAGCCGGCCAGCAGAACACTAAGCAACTGGCTTCACAGCCAAAACGGTGAAATTATAAAAGCGCTGGGGAACCACTTAGCACGAGGCAGGTGCAGCTCCCAACAAGGTAAAACCCGGCACAATGCTTGCGAGGCCCAACTTCGCAACAGACTGATGGGGGCAAGGAAAACTCGAGAAGCACTATGGATGCCGAAACGTGCCATACCTCAGTGCCACGTGGTTTCAAACCAGTCTTGGTACATTTTCAGGCGGCAGCCACAAGGCCGCAGCATGCCCTACGGAGAAAGGCGGGCTGCAGGCGACGCACTTTGGCAAGCCTCATGCCAGGGTTCGCATGGGATCCGGGGTCTTCTGGTTGTTGAACTTGTACAGAGAGCTCAAGGTCTTCCATCCCAGCTTCATATCACCCATGGGGTCGTTGCCCTGCACGGTCTTGTAAAGGTAGGAGTCGAAGGTCACCTGAGCTCGACAGACTGAAGCCGTTAAGACTGTGCTTTGCCGGCATCGGGCACATCCATAGCCTTCACATCAACCACACGTCTAAGCCCGTGCTGCCCCACACAGGTACCTCCCTCACCGGTCACCCGACGGCCTTCTGCACGTACTCCTCCTCGCAGAGCTCAACGAAGCTCTCACGGGCGGCATCGCTGGTGTAGAAGACCTTCTGCAGCAGATCCAGCACCAAGTACCTCGGCATCGAATACGCTTCTTGTCTCACAGTCAAAACGGCTCAACGGCTCATCGCTGCCTGAAATTCGCTGAGTTGCGTCGGGCCGTACTTGGCATCCCACTCGCGGATGTGCTCCATGAGGTCTGCCTGGCGGAAAGCAGAAAAAGAAACGGCGCAGAAGATGGCAAGACCGATAGCTACCAAGCCTCGTCGATCAAGCGAGCACCACTCTCGGAGTTTTTCACAATGGTCTCCGCGCACCTGCCAAAACAAAGAAAACGTCTCGAGCATCGCGGGCATACAAACACCGCCCAAGGCCCAAGTGCCGCCATGCCACATGCGGCCGCTCTTGGCTGCAAAGTAGATGCCCTCGCCAGAGCACTTGGTGACGTAACCGGCCGCATCGCCCACGAGGATGGCGCGGTCCTGGCGAGCCAGGCACGAAAGCATGCTTGGATGGATTTGGGATAGGGAGTGGGAGCCCACATGGCGCACACACACATACACACACACACACACACACACACACACACACACACACACACACACACACACACACACACACACACACACACACACACACGCCCGGCACACGACGAGCGCGGAGGTCCTTGACACGCCAAGGCCTGGGGTGCTCCGGGATGGGGTGGGCCTCCACGCGGATAATTTCACCGCCCTCGATGCGCACGGCCGCCCGGTCACGGATTCCCTGCTGATATCTCTGGATGCCCTTCTTGTCGATGACCGTGCCGGTGCCCACCGCCACGTGGTCGCACTTCGGGAAGACCCACGCGTAAAAGTCAGGGGACACGTCCTCGCCCACGTACATCTCGGCCCTGTCCTTGTAGTAGTCCATCTTGTTCTCTGGGATCTTCATGCGCTCCTGGAAGGCAATGGCATACTCGTAGTCGCCCGCTCCGATCTCCTTGGCCACACGGCTGTTGGCACCGTCAGCGCCAACCACAACATCCACCTCCAGCGTCTTCTTCTCGCCCTTGCGCGCATTGCCGTCCTCGCCCTCGTAGTCGTTGTAGGTCAGCACGTACGATTCGCCCTTCTGCTGCGGCATGGTCATGCCCATGAACAGCCCGTTGATCAGTGTGGCACCGTTCTTCTTGGCACGCTGTCGCATATAGTCATCCAGGACCTCACGGCGAACCATCCCGATGAACTCGTCGTCCTTCAGCGTCTGACCAATCTGCACCTCCTTGTTGGTAGGCGAGATCATGGTCATCTTCCTCACCTTCCAATGCTCAGACAATCGGCAAAGTAGTCTTCAAGAGTTAAGAATATGGCCTATGTGCTCATCTTCACAGCCCGCTAAAACGGCTAGATGCAGTGCTTGCGAACAAAAGCCAAAAACACGGCACTGCCCCGTTCGACTGCCTAGGCTGTCCCAAAAACAAGAGCATCACCTCCTGCCTGGCGATCAACAATGTCCTTGGGGAGGTCGAACTCGTCAATCATGCACAAAGGAATGGCGCCGCCGCAGGGCTTGCAGTTATCAAGCTTGCGCTCAATGAGGTACGTCTCGACACCAGCCTGCGAAGCCCAGGCCCAGTTCGGTAAGTGCACCTTTGAGCAAACCAGCTCTGGCTGTGCTTCTACCATTCATGCACCCAAACTGACGGATTGCATGTGTTTCATCCATGCTACCAAGCTGGATCATCCCATTATTGCTGCAGAAATCATGGCAGCGAGGCTCATGGCCCACAATGGCACTGCGGACATGGTGGGCCTGTTGCACAAACAACAGAATTGGGCCCCTTGGCTGGCAGCAACGCAAGCACGGTAGGCCTGGGCAAGCGCATCAGCCGTAGAGGCTCCTCAGGGCAACATGTCGGACAAACAGCAAACCCACCATGGCGACATGCCTGCTTTATACAGGACACTTTCCCTCCAAGAGGTAGTGAATGCTTCCTCTCCAGTAGCTACCCCGGGCTGTCCTGCAGGCCCACCGCCCACCACCGCCACTCGCAGCTTGCGGCCCTCCAGGGGCGCTCCGGCGCAGACCACCACCCGTGCCGAGGCCAAGGTCCGGGGCGTGGTGTGGGGCCTGGGAAGCAAGCAGCCGGCAACAAGATCCTGGTCGGTCCCAGCCCTCCGCTTTTCTCGAAGCTGAACCCTCCCCGAGCCTGACGGTGACGCCCTGCCCCTTGGCCAGCGCAGAGCGCCCGGAGCGCCGCGACGCCGCAGCACCCACGAGACCCGCGGCCACGCCCACAGCCAGCGGCGCGGTGCAAGAGGCACCGCGCTCCACGTGCTGCGCGCGCTCAGGGACGGCTGCAGTAGAAGCTCCGACCTGCGCGCGACTGCGAGAGTGATCGCCGCTTTCATGCATCCGAGCCTTGCCTACAATACCGTCACATAACGCAATGTGCACGGTGCGACTGGCCCACTGCCGCCTCCCTGGTGGGAATGTAGCACTGCAACATTCACAGATCTACATGCATTTCAAACAATATGTGCATATAGCTTGCGACCTGTTCTCAAGCGGTATACAATTCAATGAAGCCAAGCCTGCACCCGCAGCGAAGGCTCCCCGGGGGCCACAAAAGCGGCTGCAGGCGCCAGGGCCTGGCCACGAGGCCCCGAGGCCCCGAGGCTGTTCCACGCGTACGCCGTTCGTGACACCCTGCTGCCTGTGGCTGGAAGAAACTAGACACAGCCGCGTTCATCCGCGTTCTCAAAATAGCTGGAGATCGGCATTTCAAGCTTCTAAACCCCGCAAGTCCACCCCAGGCTCACTCTGGGGCCCGCACGGCAGACACGGCCAGTCCCATGTTGGAGAGGCTCGGCATTAGGCTTGGAGTTGTGGCCAAGTGTCCCGCTCAAAAAGTACGACCCTACCAGCTCCAGCCGAAAAGTGCAAACAAGCAACGCGGACACACGTAACCTGTTTTCTTGGCAGAAATTCAAGATTGTCCACATCGAGTACGTCCCATTTGGAGAGCCTCAAGATGCAAGGGCCTCATCTGGTTTCTTCGCTCAAAAACTCGAACGGGTCTGCGTCCTCTCAAACTGAAAACGACAGATGATTGAGTTCACATGTGTGTTGACTCCAAGCCGGGGTTGCAGGGCCAAATCAAAGGAGCCTGTGTGCGATTGGTGTACCACTGTGCCAAACTTGCCCCAGCCGGCCTGCAGAACACCATGTACTGGCTTCACAGCCGAAACGGAGGTGAAATTATAAAAGAACTGGGGAACCACTTAGCACGAGGCAGGTGCAGCTCCCAACAAGGTAAAACCCGGCACAATGCTTGCGAGGCCCAACTTCGCAACAGACTGGTGGGGGCAAGGAAAACTCGAGAAGCACTATGGATGCCGAAACGTGCCATACCTCAGTGCCACGTGGTTTCAAACCAGTCTTGGTACATTTTCAGGCGGCAGCCACAAGGCCGCAGCATACCCTACGGAGAAAGGCGGGCTGCAGGCGACGCGCTTTGGCAAGCCTCATGCCAGGGTTCGCATGGGATCCGGGGTCTTCTGGTTGTTGAACTTGTACAGAGAGCTCAAGGTCTTCCATCCCAGCTTCATATCACCCATGGGGTCGTTGCCCTGCACGGTCTTGTAAAGGTAGGAGTCGAAGGTCACCTGAGCTCGACAGACTCAAACAGTTAAGACTGTGCTTTGCCGGCATCCGGGCACATCCATAGCCCAACCACACGCCTATGCCCGTGCTGCCCCACACAGGTACCTCCCTCACCGGTCACCCGGCCGGCCTTCTGCACGTACTCCTCCTCGCAGAGCTCAACGAAGCTCTCACGGGCGGCATCGCTGGTGTAGAAGACCTTCTGCAGCAGATCCAGCACCAAGTACCTCGGCATGGGATACGCTTCTTGTCTCACAGTCAAAACGGCTCAACGGCTCATCGCTGCCTGAAATTCGCTGAGTTGCGTCGGGCCGTACTTGGCATCCCACTCACGGATGTGCTCCATGAGGTCTGCCTGGCGGAAAGCAGAAAAAGAAACGGCGCAAAAGATGGCAAGACCGATGGCTACCAAGCCTCGTCGATCAAGCGAGCACCACTCTCGGAGTTTTTCACAATGGTCTCCGCGCACCTGCCAAAATAAAGAAAACGTCTCGAGCATCGCGGACAGGCGGTACAACAGCGCCCAAGGCCCAAGTGCCGCCATGCCACATGCGGCCGCTCTTGGCT